CTGGTTCTTAATGCACACTAGGGGGCAATTCACCCTGTGCCATTTAAGTGTGGAGGAAACTGAACGAGAAAATAAAAAAAGGAACTGCCTCACCAAAATAAAATGCAATTATTCTGTGTTCCCATGTTGAACTGATTATATTTGGGATGAGCAATGTCAAGTGCTTTAGCTTTAAAGAGTGGGAAGAGGTGATAAAAGAGGTGGGAGCAAGAAAGAGATAAAGGGTAGAACATGCACAGCCAGTGGGCACAACCCAGACACAGTACGGCAAAAAAAAAAGGCATGGTGGTATTTATCCAAGTGGTCACAGTGTTCAAGGAGAGTCCAGTCAAGCTTGATGTTGACTGATTCGAGCATGATAAGCAGCCTCTGTCTGTCGATCATGAAAGGTTATTTATTGCGTACTTTCATCCTATCCAATTAATACAATGTTCTTTGAATTCAACCAGTTTTAGTGACAGTTCAATAATTTAATGCTGACTTAACTTGAGGGTGATTGCTAGTCCTTGCAGATTTGTCAGCATCTGAACTACTGAGGTGGAGCACACAAGGAATACAACGAAGGAGATTTGACGATGGAGATACAGTGCAAGAGCTAAATTCAGAGAGTCCAGCAGTATCAGCAATGACAAAGCCATGTAGTGTGCATTGATGAGATCAGACAAACACAGGAGTCTTTATGACCTTTTTTTTGTTGTTGTTGTTGACATTGAATCTATGTGATTTGATTTGGAACACCTCACATAGGTAGCAAAACAAGTAGCAAGCCACATGCGATATTTTACCAGTGGGTAATTCCAGTAGACTTTGTTGGTATTGTTGCGTTCCATTTACATCAGAAGTCGGATGTCAGATATGGAAATGATGTCATACCCGAGTTGACTGTGTTCCAGTACACAAGTCGAAAAACCAAAATGGATGCATCCATTGTTAGCATTACCAGTCGATAAAAACACGTTATAAAGCAGTATTTTGCACAAATATCATGCCCATGTACATGTTTGAAGTGTAATTTGATTTTAAGTTTGGCTCATGTCCTATCCGTTTACATGGAGAGGGCAGGGGGTTTGACCTATACCGCAGCCAGTCACCAGAGGTGAAATGTTGTGTCTTCACTTTTCAGGACGATTGCGGCACATTTGGTTGATGCACTGAGCATACATTTTGGATTCTGAAGTCGGGGTTGTTGCGGTTCCTCCAAGGATTTTTAATGCCCTTCACTCGCTATCTTCCCTCCGTCTCGGCACTGATTACGCTGCACGAGTGCCCACTACTTGTGGAACCCTTGCAGTGGGCTGAAGTGGAATGTCCTAAGCCCTTGATCACTTGGAATCCACGATGGAGTTGATTTATTATGTACATTTGTTTTTCCTTATGTACTTGTTTGATACAGCATTCTATGTATATAGGTATGCTTGGACTGCTCTATATATTTAAAAAAAAATTATAATAATAATTAATATCATAGAGTTGTTTGGGGTGGGGGTAAATTAAATGCAATCTGCCATGACGTCACAATCGTGCTGCATTGTGTTATATGGAGCGGCCTGAAAGTAGACTCTCTCCTTCGGTCAAAATCAAGGGGTCAAGGGTCTGCAAATAAACTTCCCTCATCCACTTCACGAAGTGGAAGGCACTTCTAAATGGCAGCGGCAGCAGTGCATAGGGAATTTTGCAAGTGTGTGTATGAAATCGAAGTGGAACGCAACCCCGAATTTGAGGGGCATTCAGTTAAAAGTTCCTACTGAGAACTTGAAATTTTCAACATCCAAGTACAATTAGAAAACACTATTAGTTGACATGTTGGTAAGCTAAAAACACAATACTGCAATAAACATAAAATACACAACACTCTCACTTCATCCATCATTTAAAATGTATTTCTGAGCTGGATACAATGCTTTGCCGAGAAGGCAATTCCGCAAAATAAGGAGAGTGCCAATGGAGGCATCCCACTAGGTTTCGATTTCATGCAAATACACATTGTTAAAATACTAATTTATGACAGGACTTGACAACATATGTTTTCTTCTTTGTTATCTACTGCATGATAGCTGTGTTTTAAGCCTGACTTGACAGTAGCCGGCCCTCAGACTAGACTGAAATAGCTCTCAAATTGTCTGTCTCTAGTACAAGCTTGGCTTTGCATTGCAATGGCGTGTCTAGAGGTACTCTCCGAGCCACTGGAGGCTGATGAGACAGGCCCATGCTGAGATGAGCCACTCTAGTGTGACAGCTCACTGTAGACCCTGTCATCCACTGAACCAACAGAAAGCGACAGTCATACGGTCGGGGACAGTGTATCCAGTGCTCAGCGTTCAGAACCATGGAGAGCTCCACACCAGCATTATCTCTGAGGTAGGGATCGCAAAGCATTTCAGCACAGAAACTCCTCACATTTTCCACCATGACTTTCTTTTCTTTAGATAATACTCATAATAATGGTTATAGGGTTTCATCACAGTTACAGAATCACTTTCATTGCCAAATGTGTATCATATAGGGGCTGTCAGCCTTTCGGTTTAATTTCATTGTCCATATCTCTTAAAACTATATATATACAGTGATGCAGCAATATTCTATCTATATTTTATCATCTTTCTCTGTCTCATCTCAGAATGAATTCCATGTGTTGGTGTCCTGACTGAAGACATTCACACCTGGTGCAGAAGGCAAATCTTATGAGTACCTGTTGACACTTTCCTACCCGTCATGTGATTAACCGCGCGTCTCAGTGTATCTCGCGCTTCAGAAACCGGGAAGCCTGGTTGTCGGTTCTCCCAAAATAGTGACAGATCTGGCAGTCTTGAACAGCTGAAGTGCATAGGTGTTGATTATGTCACCTCTTCCAGCGTTTCATTTACAGGCGTGAAGAATCTGAGATTCGTCCTTCTCTGCCTATTTCAAGCGTGGGCTGACAGTTTCTGTCATAAATTCAGGCCAAAAGTAGTGACACACTCATAACTCAGAATTGGGAATCTGAAATTTACTTTTTTCCTGAACAAGCTGAAACATCTTGAGACTTGAGCGATAAAAAAAAGTGTTCATAAATCAATTTACTTTCTGCTTTAAAGTCAGTTGTTAAGTTTACCTAATTATACAAACACTGAAAACTCATTCATGTATGCTTAAGAATACTAAATGTTAAGGAAGAAAAGCAAGAGGCAAAACAGATGGCCTGAGAAGCATTAATGTGTGCAGTGGTTTACTAAATCCCGATCTTCTAATCACTGTTACATAAACTGCTCACTGTCTGCTCCCCCATAGATGCACAGCCTGACAGTTAACAGTTAGCATCACCAATGCACACTATCAAAAGATGAAGACTGTTGGCGTATTTTCTTGGCATGCCACGCATGCAGCATTTCCCAGCCTTCTTTGTGTCAAAGGACAAAGGTTGCCAGTGTTGGTAGGAAGGATGTGTTATTAAAATATATGGAGATTTTGATCAGATGCACAATATGTTTAAGCGTGCATTAGAAGAGAATGACACGTGCATTGCTTAGCATTGTGAGACACTAATTACAAGTATTTCAAAGCATTGGCTTCAACAGTGTAACTGTTAAAACCAAGTAAATGAAGAATATTGTAACAACTCAATCCGAGCAGCTGAGTCCTTAGCCATCTTCAAGAATCGGCTAAAAACACATCTCTTCCATCTTTATTTGACCCTCTAACTCTAGCACTCTCTATTCTAATTCTATTCTAAAAATCATTGCTCTTTTGTTGATTTTGATTGCTTCCATTGTCCTCATTCGTAAGTCGCTTTGGATAAAAGCATCTGCTAAATTACTAAATGTAAATGTAACAGTCAGTCAAAGATCTGTTACAATGATTTCAAGAATGGTGAGCACACAGAATGAGAACATCTCAACATATCCAAACAAAGGTTATTCTGAGCAATATTAAGTACAGATAGTTGCGAAAACTAAAAGCATTGGAAAACAAAACCGTTTTGGAGCGAGGATATAACTACATTTTACGAACATGTCACGAGTTCGCCTGCCCATCCAGTACTGATGGTTAATGGTAAGCGAACTTGGCTTGCTGTCCTCAATGGAGGCTCGAACCTGATACTCTGCTTGAGCTCCGAGTTCAACCCATTGTGGGACTACATAGAAGGAGAATAACAGAAAGAGAGGAGGAGATGGGGAGGTGGAGGGATGCCGGAAGAATTGTTGCTGGGACGGCGCAATGACTGCTGCTTTATATAGGCTTGTAATGATTGGCAGGACTGAATGATTAGCCTCCTTCCGAACCTCATTACAGGAAATGGCATGTTATGCATTTGTAAAAATCTTATGACCACCATTTTGCAATTCATCATTCTTTGTATTTTGTTAAAGAAATTATTACTGTGCAAAATTACTAAAATGCAGTGTAATAAACAGAGAATGAGTTTTTGTCAGAAACTTTTATATATTGTGCATATTGTGCATTCAATGTATACATTTAATTCACTGTGTTAACAGAATAGCAGGACAATTATTTCCATGTATTTTACTTGAATTATGTCTGTGGGACATTTTTATATTATACATTTTAAAGGCTTAACCGTGCAGGGAAAGTTATATGCATGCAGCTATGATCAGTTTTATTTATTTATTTGAAACAGCATGCTGTGTTATGTCTAATATAATGTTTAATCATGCAAAGGTTTCCTCGTATGTGGGGGTCTGTGAAGACCTCCGCTGCTCAACCCTCCAGTGCACGTGTTTGCTGTAAGAAAGCTCAGCTCGTGAGCTTTTTAAAAAGCTGTCTGCAGTCTCGTGGCTGTCCGTGGTGCTGAAGCGAAACGGGCAAAGTCAAATGAAACATGCATTAGAATGAATGTCACTCTATAAATGCGAATCGTTTATTAGTTGCTGATTAGATGAAGGGTACGTTCCGCAAATGAAAACTTTCCTTATGCACATGACGCCGTCTGCACGGTCACGTGCGAAACGTGCGGTGATAAGCGAGATCCGACTCCTTTGCTCAGGTAGTTCCATGATGGGAACACGGTGAATTTAAGAAACGAAGACATTGTAGACTCATGTGCTCTTTAAAACTTTAGAACTAAAAGTATTTGCGTTGCAGCTGTTGCTCGCATTGCATCAGGTTCAAGTGGAGCTATACTAATGACAGCGAGCGCAAGAGGCATACAAGGCTGCTCATCATGATTTCTTGTTAGATCCTGTCTCGCGCATGCATGAACATGCACACGGACACATAAACGTCAAGACGGTGTGGAGTTTGTATGAAAGCTGTGCTATGTTTCAGATCGTCTCAGCATCGCTCTCCTTCAACACCCAGCAGGCTGAGATCGATGCTCGCGACGTGGCTTCTAATAAGCTGCGCTATTTTCCTCGTTAATGTCACGTTTAAAACACCCACCGGCATTTAGTTTGTGTCCTCACTACGCAAATGATCAGAAAAGCTCCTCTGCAGATGTGCTGTAAGGACTGCGGATCTTCCTTAAGCGTTTGATTTAAACATATATAGCTGTGCGATATTCCAGGCGGTGGGCGAGTCGGTGAGACGAGGGTTTGTAGAGACTGCTTCAAGGTGATTTTGGGAAAGATTCGAGCCATCGGGATTTTTCGGTGAGAGATGCATGCATTCCACTTTATTTGCGTTGTATATGCATGTGCGTGCACTGCGGATTGGCGTGCATATTGTTGAATGCGTGCCTGGCATGCCTTTAACGTGGCAGCGCTCAACAACGTTGCTGTAATAATTAATAGCATGTTAACTGTGATGGAGACTATGCGCGGTATATTATTGTTCCAACGCAATGCAAGAGAGCACGAAAGAGGCGAGATCCGGGTAAAAAAAATGGAAGAGGATTTGATTTCCCAACCACTGAAAGAGATTAAGTCGAAAGCAGCGCAAGTGCAGTTGTGCTGCATATGAAAACGGGACGGATTGGTCTTTCGATGTGAGATTGGTAGCTACCACCTTCCATTCTGAATCACAATCGCCACGTACTCAAGTGATCTCATTTCAGGGACATAGCGCCATTGTTCTGCTGTAGTAAGGCTTTATTCGTGTGGATTTGGGGTTGGTAGATGACTAATTTGCTGTAAACTGGGAAGAGTTTCGATGAGGAGTGTGCGAGAGCTGCGCGCGCTCGGCAGCAGCATCATCAGCAGCAGCAGCAGCCTCGAGCTCAAAATCAGCACAGCTCACATCTCAGAGCATCATCTCCTCGCATCCAGACAGAATAGACGTGTGCAAAAGTTTGACGATAAGGTGCAATCGATTTAACGTAAGTCTTGATGCTTGTGTCTTGGATATTGTAAAACCGGGGGCTGAGGGATCGCAACTGCATAAATGTAGTCCCATATTCCTGGAAATCTAAAATGGATTATGGGGTACTTTTATCTCTGCATGATGTTTGTGGTATGCATGATTGCTGTGAACTTGGCGATGGTCTGAAATGATGCGCGCTGTTTGCTTAATTACTCCAATTGAATTACTACACGTTTAGGAACAATCCCGAGGCGCACGCCCAACACTAATTCAGAGATACCTTAAAACGTGCTTTTGATGATGCACTCTCGCGACAGAACTCAAAAAGTGTGAACGTTAGGGATTGTGTAAGCATTATAATCCTTTGGAGTTTCGCCCAAATCTATGTGGTGCGATCTGAATGTGGGCATCACGGAGAGTGCCTCGGCGAGTGATCAAGGTTTTTACATAGAGCTGTAAATCATTTTGTATGATGTTAATGCAGGATTAACACGCCGATTGTGTGTGGAATGATTTGCGTTAATGCGTATGCCAACCGGCGGAATGAAGGCACACCGATAGCTGTGTCTGTATTTCTACATATATAGACCTCTGTTATGTAGCACAGATTAATATTCTAAAATGGGAAAGTGCAATTAAACATTGAGTATTTGCATAGTGGGTCGTGTGGCATACGTAATGACTGTCGTATTGTGTCATGCAAAAGTGTGATATTTGTTTACTCTTAATTCTGATCATGTATATAAATGCTTTAGTATTAATCTACACTATATGTAAGCTATAAAGGGGTCAGGACCACATTAATGCACAGTATTCATGATTGCTCCTCTAGAGGAGATATGCTCAAGCTTTGAATTATATTTCAAAGGTTAAAAAGGGGAAATATGAACATTTTGTTCAGCACTTCTTAAACTGCCATAGGGTACTGTGCTTTCTTAGGATTTGTATTTAGATGATCACATCACTCTATTGCGACTCAACAAATCGCATCACAAATATAAAATTAGAGGTATCCCACAGACAGACATTGATTGGTAACTGTGGGAGTAGTTGCATGTGAGCTGACACTAGCAGACCCTGTCTGTCTAAAAACATATTTCTAATTATATTACGGAGGTATATTAATGCATATACTCCCTATAATCGCGGTATGGGTTTTGACAACCACATACCTCACTTCTTCCTGCAATTGCTCCACTTTAGGTAGAACAGAGAGGAAAACCCTGGGTTTCTTTGAATGATTGTATTTTCTCTTCTTTAGTGGGGATTCATCCATTGGAGAATGATGTGGGGTGGAAGAGGAGCAGCTTGGCTTTGGATTTGGGCCTGTTTACTGGAGGCCAGTGTTCTGGCTGGAAAAAGGTATGTTTACGCACCTGAAGTTGGTGCATATTTCACTCACATCTTGGAATGATTAACACATTCTCTACTTTTGATAAAGAGCACTCTCTATGCTGTAGTTACAGTAATGTTCAGTTAATATGTAAGTGCTTTGATCTAAATGTAGCTCTTTGATCTAGACCTACAATGTTAACTTAGACCAAGATCAGAACCTCAGACTTCAAAGAGGATGTCATGCTAATGAAGCTTTCATTAAGGTTTTCATTCTGCTGCAACTTTCTTTCACTGTTATACTGCATGCGTCATGGAGTGTTTTTCATCTATAGGTGAATTTTGCTGACATACATTTTGAAGAAGGAAATATAAAAAACTGTGCATGTCTATCATCCATAAGCAACATCACTGAATTAGTTTCTTTAGACAAAAACATGCAGAAAGATATTTCTAAAACTACGGCCAAGTGCTATTTTAAATGTAAGGACAAATGGAAAGGTTTCTAACCAAACATAAATATTTATTTGGGAGGATTTGGCTTGAAAGAGGTCTCAGGCTTTCATTTTAATTTAATGTTTAAAGTGTAATATTAACTAATGAGTTTATATTTTCATGAATGCAGCTTGGATTTATATGTACCGTTAGCAGAGAATTATGCTGCGGATTTACTTCTAAATGATTAGTTACAATACTAATAATATATAAAGATGTTCAGGAAAAAAAAACATGTTTAATGATGCATATTATTAAATTATTTTGCAAAAATCATGGCTGTAAAATAAAGATTGTAATGTGATTACAAATGCCATGCAACATTTTGCTTGCTTTAGATATATTTTATAGGTTTAGACAGGTGACCGTCACAGCGATGTTGACATACCCATGAATATTTTATAACAATACTTTAAAAATGCCATAAGCATACAGGGTCTCATTTGTAAGCTTCTGCTGTGAGAGCATGCATTCACACTGTTCTGTTCAGATGACCTGTAGATGGGGTTGCTGTACAATATTTAATGGGGATCTGTATGCTGCTCATATAAGCACATGGATTTTGCAGTGTGTTATTCATGTCTGTATGGTTCCTCTTTCAACCTACTATCACCAAATCTGTCAAAATATATATTTGAGTTAATTATTACTAAATAAAAATGCCCTGATCTCTGATGTTTTTGTGCATTTTTCTCTGAGGTAACAGTGGAGATGTAATTTTGGGTCAGGCTGGCATGCTGTGAGTGTTGTACTCGCATGCATGCGTAATATATGAGACTACATTTTCCTCTCATGACCCCTTTTCCGTGTCGCTCATGGGGTCTGTGTGCATGTGCGTGTATGTCTCTGTGCGCAGATGGGGGAGGGTGGAAGTCTTCTCGTTTTATTTTTATTCTCGTTGACTGTTGTTGAATCCAGTGAGGTCCAAAGGTGTGAGAGCCCACTTGTGAAAATGCCTATGTTTTGCATTTATATAACAGAACAAAAATAAAAACTAATCAGAATTTGATGGCAAAAAAAACATTTGAGAGCATACGGCTCGAGTCTGCAAGTTTGTACAAACCAGTATGATTTGAAAATGTTTGTTTTAATTAAAGCAAGGTAATCTGATCTTTGTAGAAAGGAGTTAAAAGGGTCAGTATCGAAATTTGCTTACATTTGATTAGTGACCTAGAAATAGTACAGCGTCTTTACGTCATAAGTTTTCTTTGAAAACACAGTGAAAACCAGCAAAGTGGTCTCAGACTTTCATTGCATGTTCTGCTGGGAGACATTAAGACTGATTGAAATGAGTGCATGAAATGAGCACAAAAAGCATGCACTGTTCTTCTCAGCGACGGCGAGCATATATCATCTGACAATTGTGCTTAAATTGTATTTAACTGCTTTGAATCAATAGTTGTCCATGTTGCTTTACTGGAAGATTTATAGTGGAATTACTTGCAATAATACATGCCAGATATGAAATACACGGGATACAAGGCTAACTTGCATTTCAGTGCGCGTGATGTCTCTCTCTTTTGGGGTCTGTCGCGTCTCTCCCTCTCGCTTTTCTCTATTTGAAAACACCTCCATCCGTGGTCCATGCTAACTAATCGCGATGACCTCATCCTCTCCTTCAAATCTGATTCCATGCCAAACACCAAACAGTGTTTATTGAGTCTGCAGACGCACTTGCCAGCGGAAAAAGAATGTCAACGATTACCAAAACAGCAAGCAATTATGAATGAACGGTCAGCCGGTGATTGTTTTTAGAGGAGCACAAATTGGCCACCGTCCTCACAGGCTCTTATTCATAAAGTACCATTTTACACTATATGATTAAACTGCATTTTGCTCCTAATCATTAGTCTGAAATATTTATGAGCGACAGAATTCTTTCTCTTTGCAGCCATGGGTGCGTCTTTTAGGATTTGGCTTCATGTTGCTAGAACTCATGCTTCTCATTTGCATCTAAAAGATTATTTTAGCTAATTAATAATGCATTGTTCTTGTGTATATCCCCCTTTGCTCCTAAGACGGAAGGAGATTTGTTGTTTATCTGCAGGCTATTGCATTGCACATTCTCTTTAAACAGGCTTGATGTTTCAGAGTTACCCCGAGGAGGGTGTTGCATTGATTTTTCACATCAGAGTGTGTTATAGCCACCCTATGCTGTTGATTATGGGTTTTGAATAAAACGTCTGCCGTTTTGCGTTGTCAGCTCCAGTCAAAGCGCAGATGAGCAGAAAGACAACACCACAGTTTTCACCAGGATTCTGGACAGCCTCCTCGATGGCTACGACAACCGTCTCAGGCCTGGACTCGGAGGTAGGTGCAGAAGTTTCTCTGAGGATTTCTCGCCTCATGCATTCGTGTCCCAGTTTTCAGCCCTGTGGGAGATTTCTAAACTTGCATCTTCAAACGGATGTAACAGCACTTTTTCACGTCAGGAAAATAAATCAGTAACCAATCATGTTCCAATCGAAGTAGGTTTCTAAATCACTTATTTAGCAGTTTTATGTAATATTATTGCTAATATTTTCATTTTGGTGGTAGGATGCAGCATGGACTTCTGTGGTTATAATGATAAAAAGAAATAAAAATGTTTCTTAGATGTAAATGTAATGTTCTGCAGAGGAAACAGTTTCCATTCACCTTTTATTTATAAATAAGTTGTTTTATAAGTTGTTTGTATTGCAACACCTCAGAATTACACTAGCACCATTATATTTACTTGCCAAATGCATTTTTCCCTCACAGTTAAATCATCATAGTAAGAGACTTTAAAGGTGGCAGATATTTCCTTTATTTGATGATTTTCTAATAGCTTTGCTATTTTCACAAATAAATGTACATTTCAAAACTCTCAGTACTAAACTTGCATCATCAGCAATGCCCTTTTCAAGCATTTCAACATATGTGTTTGTGTGTGTGTGTGTGTGTGTGTGTGTGTGTGTGTGTGTGTGTGTGTCAAACCAGACATGTGTGAGTGTGTGTGTGTGTGTGTGAGAGTGTGTGTGTCTGTGTGTGTGTGTGTGTGTTATACTATTGCAAACATACCATACAAACATACTATTACCATATGGATTTTATGTCAGTCACATAACATAAGTAATGCAAGTGTATTTCCTAATGTTACAATGTAACATCTTTAATTTACAAACAGGGTGATTTGAATGATCTTATTGCAAAGGTACTAAAGGGAAAGAAGATCATACTGTTGTGTTTCAGTGATTAAACCAAATGTTCTCATTACATATAATAATCTAGTGTTTTTCAACAATGATTATGTGGACTGATAAAATGCATAACTGTAATGAAAGTATGCGATCAGGTTTCAAAAGCTGTGTTACAAGTGTGATCAGTTTGTACAAAGAGTTTTGAAAATGTACACCTTACATAATAGAACTAAAATAGTATTATTTGCTAAACATGTTACATTGTTGTTACATGTTAATTTAGTGTTATGAACCAATCATGAAAGTAGAAAGAAATTGTAATGAAAGCAAGAGATCAGATGGTGAAAGAACTTTTGAAAATGCGGTCATTGAAAGACATTAAATGCAAAAGCATGCCTCATCAAAAATGTGATGAAGGCGATGGTGGAGAGCAGTTTTGTTCTGAACAAGCCCGCCAGGCAAAAGCACATCAAGTGAACATTGTTTTCCACATAAATGCAGATCATTTAACACCTGACATAAATTAGCTTTGAATGGAACTGAATGATTCATTGAGTTGGCAAGGAACTCCTCACACGTGTGTCATATGATTTTTTAATTTTCAGTGCGTCTGTTTGACCTTACACGCATTACCTTAGCGCCCACAAAGTGACAACATGTCATAAATAGCAAGTAAAGCTGACTAACAACTTCTGTCAACATCAGTAATCGTTCCATGGCACATAGACATGCTGTTTTTCAAGGAGGCAAGAAAGTAAGGTACATTTCTTCATAAAGGACTCCAACATATTTATAGGTTATTGTAAGGTTTGCTTGATGTGATTAGAAATTTTAATGCTTTGTGAAAAGAAGAAGGGAAAAAAATATCCCAGGAATTATTAGAAGCGGGATGCCAGAGAGAGACAGAACCCATGTAAGTGGAGTGTGGAGAGTTTGCTGAACCTCGATTCGATCAAAGTCAGGCAGGTTGAACCTCTGGATTAAAGTGTTGTTAAAACTAATGGCCAGCACTGATTGACACTCAAACTCCTAATTTCTTGCTTCAACAGAGCGTGTAACCGAAGTCAAGACTGACATTTTCGTGACGAGTATTGGGCCGGTCTCGGACCATGACATGGTAAAACTTTTTTACTTTCTATAAATGTCACAGGTTTTCTGTGTAGCCAGTGTTCAGAAGAGTCATGTACATGCTTAAATGTTTTTACAACACTGAAAAGCTTGACATGTGATGATTTAATCTGTAAATGTGACCCTGGAGCACAAAACAAGTCATAAGGGTCAATTTTTAATCTTTCCATTGATGTATGGTTTGTTAGGACAGGACAATATTTGGCTGAGATACAACTATTTGAAAATCTGGAATCTGAGGGTGCAAAAAAATCTAAATATTGAGAAAATCATCTTTAAAGTTGTCCAAATGAAGTTCTTAGCAATGCATATTACTAATCAAAAATTAAGTTTTGATATATTTACGTTAGGAAATGTACAAAATATCTTCACGGAACATGATCTTTACTTAATATCCTAATGATTTTTGGCATAAAAGAAAAATGTATAATTTTGACCCACACAATGTATTGTTGGCTATTGCTACAAATATACCCCAGCGACTTAACACTGCTTTTGTGCTCCAGGGTCACAAATAATCTGTAAATGTGAAAGCCAGATCCGGTATTCAATAATAGTGGAAGTAAACTTGGAAATGACTACTTGATTATAACACCATAACACATATTTCTTATTACATCTTTACATAATAAAAAAAAAAAATAGGTTGGGACACTTCAATCACATGTAAAAAAATTAAAAAATAAAATAGATTAATGTCTTGGAATACATAAAATATCAAACCAAGTGATATTTATTTATTTATTTATTTAGATTTAAGCACTAGACGCTTGTCAAGCAGAACATTTCACAAAATATTTTAAATCGTAAATGAGAAAACCATAATATGACACTTGTTTGTTCAAGCGCTAGTGAAACATGTTCATAGTTCACGTGATGAGCTGCCCGATGCCTGTGTGAATTGAAGGGAAGGTGCATCTACTAAAAATTAACTTTGACATTGTAAAAATGGCAGAAAAAAGTAAAGTCAGTTCTGAGTAGAGCTCTAGCATTATCTGTTTGCAGATGCCACTTAGTGTTGTCATCTAGTGAAATAACATTCAGATATTTTTAAGTATATCTTTAGTGATCTATTGGAGCCACTGTATATACTTGATTAGGAAATTTAATCTTTTTTTCATAACATAATGGCATATCCTGCAGAATATCAGATACTGATCGAATCAGATTTCTCCCGCTAAACATAAGTTCCTTTATGAAGCAACTCTACATGTTTTTCATGCATGCCTGTCAATCAAGTCTGCTAATTTCATAAAAAGAGTAAAATGCTGCAGTTATGTTGGATTTTTTTTTCTGCTTTACATTTCATTCACCCAGTTATGTGACTCTACCTAGAACATCCGGCTGTATCTGTGTCATGATGGATGATCATGCGAAAATGAAAAAAAGCTCGCAGCTATGACGATCAGTAGTTGTTAGAATGATTCATGCCGCTAATTATGGCCACCAATGCTTCAGAAAGCTCATGGCTCCTCTTGATGACTGCGCTTTTACTGAAATTACTACACAAAAGCCACTCTATAACTACAAGTCTCAATTAGACTCCTCAAAGCATTTGAGGATAAATGAAAAAGGGCTGGTTTTGTCATATTTGGAGCTTGACAGCACCTGGTCACTATGAGCTGTAATTGTATGACAAGAGTGTAACTTTATATATAAATCAATAATTTTGACCCATACAATGTATTTTTGGCTATTGTTACAAATATACCCCAGCGACTTAAGACTGCTTTTGTGCTCCAGGCTCACATATATGTATATATATAACTTGTCATACATATATATACATATATATATACTGTATCTTTTTTCTTTTCTTTATTTAAAACGACAACACACATTAATCAACATTTCTGTAAATGTGCCAGTGTTAGCCAGCTGGCTAATTTCAACCCGTTCTCGTGAAAGTGCGTCTAAATAGATCGCCAAATAAAAGCGAAAACTTGTGGTATTGATATGCAAAAATGGACTTTGGCGTGTATATGCTACGTGATGGGTAGGTTTAGGGTTGTGGGGTAGATGCATATCATATGTACGCGAAAACTGCGTATCATATGCACGCCAACAAATTTCGTATCATATGCACGAGAAAGCTGCGTATTATATGCACGCCAAACACATGCGTATCATATGCACGCCAAAGTCCATTTTTGCGTATCAATACCACGAGTTTTCGTTTTTATTTGGCGTACCATTTATACGCATTTTCATGAGACCGGGCTCCTAATTTTCAACCACAGTCCTTTGGCAAGCTGTTTAAAAAAAAACTTTAAATAACAAAAGAAATAACAACAAGAAACAGCAAAATATCAGCACAATAACTCAATAACAACAAAGAGAATTTCCACAATTAGCCATGCAAGCACACAACGCGACAACACACAACCCTAAATAGGCAAAATGCAAGCATGCTGGAAAAACAGTTAACATACATAAAGCACATCAGATGCAATTTTGAGTTAATAAAATAATAACACACACCTAAATTGTATGACAACCCTATAGAAGAGCATTCCAGAGAATTAATAAAATGCTAATTAAATAATCCAAACATACCCAAGCAATGCATTTGGCCGTCTGACAACGAGCAAAGGACATGGAACATGTTATGTGTATCTAACACATTTTTAGTGAAACAAACTAAATTTGAAAATGCAAATGCAAAGCTATCTTAATCTTGCTCCATGGTAATTTTTAGCAAATGTTCCTTCCCCTCAAGTTCACACAGACATCAGGAATCACGGGTAGTTCATCACATGAACTATGAACATGTTTCACTAACTATTTCTACATGGGATGAGAAAACGATGTGTTATCGGTGGTCTTGCAGGAGTACACCATCGATGTGTTCTTCAGGCAGAGTTGGAAGGACGAGAGGCTGAAGTTCAAAGGTCCTATGGCTGTGCTCCGTCTCAACAATCTCATGGCCAGCAAAATCTGGACCCCCGACACGTTTTTCCACAACGGAAAGAAGTCAGTTGCCCATAACATGACCATGCCTAACAAACTTCTGCGGATCACAGAGGAAGGAACTCTGCTTTACACCATGAGGTGAAGCTGCTGCTTATTTTCCTCTGCTTGGAAAGAACAGATGGTGCATCTGATCACCTTTTCATGTCATTTCCTTTTAATGATGGTGTTTGGTCTAAAGTGATCTGGGTCTCCATCTCTCTCTGTATAGAAATATATTCAAATATATATTTGTAAGAGTATTAGTGTGAGTCTATAAATGTATGTTTTGCATATTTTGCCATAAATACCATGACTAATGCACAGGTCAGGACAGCACATGTTATAAAGCATCCTTTATTCTGCTTAATTAGTAGATTAGGGTGAAGTTGGAAGTTCATATTTGTGTCAACTAAATGAAAAATGGGAGGAACGTACCGTAGGGGATGACATTTACTGATTTATCACACTGTCAAGCTGCAGTGAGATTGTGTATGTGTGCGACTCTGTTCTGTAAATGTGGGGAGAACTGAGCTGTAGTAATTCCTGTCTGAAATAGGCCCTACCTAATAAGCGATATAAGCGGTTGCATAGGGCCCCTGTGGCCCAGGGGTTCAGACAGTAATACGTGGTAATAATAATAGCTTTGCTTGTGTAAGTCTTGTGCGTTAATGTTTAAAAATGAAGAGTAAGTGATGAATTTTGTTTGCTGTATCGTGTCTTATTGCTTAGCGCTTTGAAGACGCTGTGTCAATGAAACAACGGTGCACTGTTATCGTGGGCACTTCAAAATAGGTTAATATTTCTGGATACCTTATTATCTGAATTGTTTGGATTTTTAGAACGCATATTAGCTTAATTTTCATTTACAACACTGCATGAAAATTCGGTCTGAACAAAATCAGCAGGGGTGAATAAAAATGCAAGTTCACTCTCGGACAGTAGGTGGCGCTTATTTGAACAGCATAAATACTGCGGAAATACTTTCTGACACCTGCTTGTGATGGAGAAGAAAGGAGGTCACAACAGTATTTAAATGTTTTCAAACAGATATTAAGTATTGTATTCGCTTTGGCGTTTATCAAACGACACCAAATACTTAAATCCTTTTAAAACATTTCAAATGCACTTATACATTTTTACATTTTAATCTGGACTAAAATATGCCAGCTCAGAAAAGAGATTATTTTCTATTAATAATAATAATAATATATTCACTATTGTAATTGTATAACTCATTGGCAGGTGTTTTTACTTTATTAAAGCATGAATCTGACAAAATTTTGATACATTTCTCTGAAAGCAATGTTTCAACTTTTACATTTTTTAAAGTTTGCTTAATAAGTAAATATATTTTCATATTTATAACTTGAAAACACTTTTGAAAAACTGCTTAGGGCCCCAAAATGCTAGGGCTGGCCCTAACCAAAATATTTGATCACTGTATACTCTATATATCAGTGGCGAGTGGTGACTTCTTTAACTGAGTGTACTGGCTAATTTATGCATTCATTTATCAGAGAGGACAGGTGGCACGTGTTGACGTCTTGAATAGCCATTAAGTGGCAGTTACTTTAATTACTAACTATTAAATAAATAGTAATAAATAGTAATATGATGCCATACTTGTATAAAGATTTTTTTGAGTGAACTTTCGAAATTCTTTGCTTGAGGAAACATGACAATATACAGCTACAATTCCTCACATGTTTGTGCTTGGGCGAGCAATTTGTGGACTGATTTCCTGATTACACATGAAATCACCAACATGCCAACAAACCAATGAGAATGCGGATCAATAATGACGTTTCATAGCAAGAGAGCGCAGACGCCAAAGCTGACGTGGATCCGCTCACCCGGGAACTGGCACAGTTATGCAGAAAATTACCTTTGTTTGGCAAATAAATAATTTACAGAGAGTTACATTAACATTTTATTATGCAATCCTTATGTTACACCTCAAATGACAAGGGAATGTTGATATTTAGCCGGTCTCTAGGCTTCAGTATGCAGAGCATTCGCAACTTACTGTATATGGACTGCACACCCGTCATTTTAATGCCTATGTCTGGATAATCTAGTGAATTAAATACAATAATAAACACAAATGGTAAAATGTATGGTTACATCTTTAAATTCAGAATGGGTGAGCAGCGACTGCACTTCAGTTGAATTCCATTTTAATGCATTGCTTTATACCGCTTAATAACAATTCTATACAAATAATACATACTTATATGCATCATCATACTGTCCAAATGTATTTCTATAACTGTCAAGATTATAATATTGTATCGTGCTGTCTCTCTCTCTGTCTCAGGCTTACAGTCAGAGCTGAATGTCCCATGCACTTGGAGGACTTCCCAATGGACGCCCATGCTTGCCCTCTCAAATTCGGCAGCTGTAAGTACTGCTTCCGTGGAAAGTTCAGATGCTACTCAGAGTCTCAGATGGGGACTTTCTCTTCATCATCTCTGACAAAACACATCATTCACCGAGTCCACACAACTAGCCGAATGGATTTAGCTACCAACTAATCCTTGAAAAGAAAGAACAGATGCGTCTGCGCTGGAGGAAGAATGAGAGGGGGGGGGGGGGGGGGACACAAAAAAAAAAAAAACATGTGTCAC